TGTGTGTGTGTGTGTGTCTGTCTCTGTGTGTGTGTGTCTCTCGTCTGGTGCAGCCAACCCTACACTGGCCATCACCATCAGCCTCCCTCTGCCTCTTTCAAAGTTTTTTTTGCCAACTGGCTTCCTGTCCCCCCCTCGACTCCCAGCGGATATACACACATGCACACACACACACGTGCGCACACACACACAATCATGCATATTTACAAGTGTCCCGCATCAACTCCCAGGGTGTTTGCTGTGTTCAGCTGGATCTGTTTGAACAACTCACAGACACACAAACACGCCATGATGTCACCCCTCCATCGAGCCTTTGTTCATGTGATAGACAACCCCATTCAGCCTGTGTGTGTGTGTGTGTGTGAGTGTGTGTGTATGAGACAGAGGAATAAAGGAAGAGAATCACCAGGCAGTCAGATCTGTGTTTGTTTTCTATTATTTCCATTTTTCCGTCTTTTATTTCTCACACTGCAAGGAATCATTTTACATTTGATATCCTCTGTGTTGAACTGCAAATGTGAAACAGGGAAAAAGGAACCAGTGTCTGTGAAGAGTTCATGTGACTGATGCAGAGCAGTGTTGGGTTTTTATGATACAAGAAGCTTCTCAGTTCACGGCTGTCTCAGTATCTCACGTCTGTCTCTGCAGGAAATACGGTCTTTCATCTTCTTCGCTTTGGAAGATTCTTTTTTTAACGAGAACTAATGTGTGTCTCTCTCTGTCCTCTTTGCGTGTGTGTGTAGCTGGGATGACAGCAGTTCAGTGAGCAGCGGCATCAGCGACAACATCGACACAGATGACATCAACACCAGCTCCTCCATCTCCTCCTACGCCAACACGCCAGCGGCACAGCGCAAGGGCCTCAACGCACAGGTATGACTTAACGCACCATCACACACACAGGAGCAAATATCGAAGTTTTTAATTTGGCTTCACGTTGCTAAAATATCTGGATTCATTCAAATCCGATGGAAAATATAATCCGATCATTTCCCTTTTTTATTATAAAAGACCAATGTAATTTACCTGAGTTTCAGTTCTTCTAATATCGGTGTTTGGGAAGCTGAGTCTTAATAGATTAAATTAAAGATTGAAAAGGATTTGGATTCAATAAGCGGATTTGATTCTGCGTTCAGATTTGATGAAATTCCATCAGAACCGCTGTGCCAAGGGTTCAGGTCCCTCTGTTTGCAAACAGTGAATCAGCACCGAATTACAATCTGCTGTCAGTTATTAGACACTCACGAGACTTCGGTCCCTTCAAGTGGGACTTTGGTTTTATTTCATTTAAACACCAATGATTTTGATTTGAGCAACTTGTGTTGTCAGCAGTTGTGATGCACAATGAGGTTTTTAAAAACGCTGTATTCCACATTTATCTGTTTTTTTTTTCCATTGTCATGTTGACACTGCTCACATCAATGATATATACAACTTAACACAACCAAAATATAATCATGAGTTTCATTTTAAAGCACCATGAGTCAGCGACAGTTAATCACCTAAACCAGGGAGGTTGTAATTACACCCCTGTTTGTTGGTTTGTTTGTTTGTCAGCATGATTCTGCAAAAACTGCCGAACAGATTTCGGAAAAACTTGTTGGAAGGACCGGCTGTGGGCAGAGAGAGAAAGAACCCGTTGAACGTTTGGACAGATCTCGACAAAGGGGCAGATCTAAGAATAATCTTTTACTTTATTTAACATTGAGAAATTGGGCTGATTTCTATGAGTTTGTGCAATTTAATCCAGATTAATGAAATTTAAAGGGACTCTTGGCAGAGGCATGGATTCTAGTTTCACATTTAATGTATAAAACTTTAAAATAAAAGAAGAACAAATACACATAACAAAATCTAAACTTCTCTCACACATCTACATGGTCGTTTCTTGACTTGACCTAATTTTTCTCAAACCCAGTGTGTCCCAGCATTCCTCTGCGTCCAGAGAAGAATGTGAGACCACGTCTGGGTGGCACAGCTGTGAACTTGCAGGGCTAAAGCTGATGTTGACTCTGGCCTCAAACCATTAAACACTGATTAGGAGCCACTGCGGTTCAGGAAGGTGATCGGTGGGACGATAATATTGTCAGCTGACTCACTTAGGCACGGCACACAGACAGACACACACACTGTATATTGTGGCGGATGTGGAGCCAGTCGTCAAGTGACGTGTGTCCATTACTGCTGCAGAGGTCAAGGTGCTGATGGAGAAAACAAAGGAGTCTTTCTCTCAGTACAGCAGCTCTGACACGGCTCAAGTTAATAAAGTCTGCCTCATCTGTCCTATGGTAATAACAAACTGTCTGGACCATGATGCATTTTTTTAGCATCGCTCTGACAACTGCAGAATGGACTTGAAAGCGTCTGTCAGCCTTTAAACAGCTGTAATTTACTGTGTTAGTTAAATAAAGGCCATGAATGAGATATATTATTCTCACAAAGAAGTTAAAAGAAACTGCAGCTCCAGCACACACAGACATATGATCTGAATTTGAAAACTGAGGCACATCAGCTGCAGAGAGAACGACTATTAACTTGTCTCAAAAGGAAAATATTTGAGTGTCATATAAATCCTGGAGAAGAAAATATAAAATAAAGAAGACGGCATCAGGTGAGATGATTTGAGACGACGCTACTTCAAGACCTGAGGGCTGAAACGTAATTGATCGCTTTAATATGCTTTAATATTATTCATGTTGCTTTCAAAGGGTTTCCAGTTTGAAATGTAAAAGAAACACGATCAACACAAGTTTGGGAGGAAAAACTTAAATCCTGTTGTTTGCATGAAGTTAAAGTCTTCAGCTGCTCAGCAAACGCAGAGGCAGCGAAAATTCTTCTCAGACGCAACCATGAGCGCTCTCACTGCTCAGGCACTAATGTGGTCAAACAGCTTTCCGACAAATTGCTTAGGTGACGGTGGCGAGGATTTCTGGTAGGATTACCCAGCGTGATGGCTGTGGTCATAAAATGGAGTGGTTTTTAGAGCCACTTGGCAAAGTCTCATAAAAGACGCTTTCATCAGCAGTAATAAATCTGACATACTGTGTGTGTGTGTGTTCCCAGCCTGTGACGGATGCAGAGAAGCACTCGGCCTCCACAGTGCTGCACCAGGCCTGGTCAGGAGACGAGGTGAAGAGGCCAGACGGAGGGTCAGACAGTGGGGTCAGGATGGAGCCGGGCTCCAAGTGGAGCCGCAGGAACCCCTCCGACATTTCCGACGAGTCCGACAAGGGTGGCTCGGGGAGGAAGACCCCCTCTGTGTCCCACACTGGCTCCTGGAGGAGAGGCATGAGCACTCAGGTCGGGGTGACGTCCCCTCGGACTAAGAGCACCAGCAGCACAGGCTCAACGGGCTCCATCAGCCTCAAGAGCCACAGCTCAGGTAACACAGACGTCAAGAGAAGAGGCTTTTCTTTAGTGTAGCTGATACAGTTTTGTTTTCTTATTCTTAAATCAACTTCCAGTTGATAAGATAAGTTTATTATTATAATATTAAATAAAAAATATTAAGGCTAAAATGGGAATAAAAACAACTTTGATTGTAAATGGTGAACTGTTGCTTTGGGGCGGCTGAAGGCGGAGTGGTTGGAGAGTCTGAGAGATCTGGATTTTTAATGAGCTGAGGCTTTACTCTAAAATGATTGGTGCTTAAAACAAAAAGTATGAAATAATCCCACACACTCTGCTGATGTCCTTCTGTGTCCCCCAGGTAAGACGGATGACGTCAAGGTGTCGGAGAAAGGAGGCGTCGCCCCTCGTCCTAACGGCCTCCACCGCTCGCCCTCGGACGCAGGACGCAGCAGCGGCGATGAGGCGAAGAAACATTCCATCTCCAGCAGCCGCACGGCAACAACGAATGCCCTCACCCACACCGTCTCAGAGCCACACTCACAGACACACACACTTGCCTCGCGCACCCCGACCAGCACCTTCGGCTTCAAGAAGCAGGGCCATGGGATGGTAACCATGGTTACAGCCAGTGGGGCCACCATCACCAGTGGTTCAGCCACCCTGGGGAAGATGCCCAAATCTGGGGCGCGCTCTCTGGCAGGAGGCCTCAAAGCCAGTGGGCAGGACGGTGGTTCGGCCCTGGGTCACCACGACGATGGCTTCCTTTCCATGAGCGCCCGCTCCACTCTGCAGTACCGCAGCCTGCCGAGGCCCAGCCGCTCAGGAGCCGCTGCCCGCAACGGAAATCGCTCGTCCACCAGCAGCATCGAGGCCGCTGTGCTCTCCGTGACATCACACGGTAAAAACTCCATCAGCCTCGCCAAGGCCAACGGCTCGGGAGGCCTCCTGCCCAATCAGACGGATCGGGAGAAGGGAGTCTCGGAGATCGACAACCTGAGGAGCGGAGTCGCGATGCAGAGCGGGGGAGCAGCGACTGTTCCTCTGACTGGAAGACAGCAGGTTTCTTCACCCACGCTTCGCAGGTGGGCACACACACACACACACGAACGCACACACACACACTCTTACAGAACATTGTTTATGTCGTCAGTAATCCTGCAGACACAGTGACGGCCAACTGATGAGCCACACTAAGTGGGGGCTCTCCTGTACGGGCTTGACTCTACCCACATGCAACACACACGCACACACAGAAGACCATTTTAAAAGACAGTAATCATGCAGTCACTGTAAATAATAAGTAGCGATGAGTAAGGATCACACGTGTGGGCTTGTTAAACACACACACACACACACACACTCACACACACACTCGGTGAGGTTAAATGGGGCCATTGTGAATTCAGGCCTTGAGCTGGGCTGATCAGCTGCCAAGCCTGAGCGTTGGCGGTGTGGGGGGGAGGGTGGGTGGGGGTGTGGTGCAGGGTAACGGGAGCTGAGTCTTACCTCAGCGCTCTGCCCTCATTAATGTGAGGGAGTGATAACTCTTCAAAGAGGCCTTGTGCTGCCATTATCGCCCACCACAGTCATCACAGCCTGTCATTTACCTCTTAAGTCAGGATTAGCAGAGAGCCAAGAGAGAGTTTTCTTTGTGTGTGTGTGTGTGCGCGTGCGTGTGTGCGTGCGTGAGACTCTACCTTTTCTGCGTCTTTCTTGTTCCACAGTAAAAAATTTAAACTGTTTCAATCATCCAGTTCTTTGATGCAGAACAACCATTTTCATCATCCCTGGAGGATGAGACCTAATAACCCCCCCAACCTTTTTTAAAATTAGTTTTAGGTTTAAAAAACCTACTCGCAATAAAACAATCTTCAAACGAAATGTAAAAACAGAAATAACGAGCTATAAAAATTCTGCCTCTTCTCCTGGTTTATTGACAATAATTGATTTAATTGACTTTAGTGACGTTGTTAATTAGTTCTATTGGTCACCAACGGGAGATGACAAATTTAAACCTGCTCTTCTTTCATTTTTAACAGGTTGTTTGGTGGGAAGCCCGGTAAACAGGCTCCGGTCACGACGGCCGAGAACATGAAGAACTCCACCGTTATCTCCAACCCCCACGCTACCATGAACCACGTGGCCACGGTGCTGGAGTCCCCCGATGGAGGGTTGGGAGGCGTCGACAGCGAGACCAGCAGCCCCCTGTTCGGAGGCAGGGCGTTGGGATCGGGGATGGGGACGCTGGGCAGCGAGCAGGTGAGCGGGATTTGATTTATTCTCCAATCACTGAAGTTGCATTTACGTTTATTTTTACAAATGTGTCACTGGAGCAGAAGCGTATTTATTTTCGCTATGCATGTTCTCCAGCGACCCACCACCCATTATTTATTTTGGAGTCACATTTGAGTTATTTTTAACGGACATTTGTCGTCCCCAGAGGATGAACCCTGCTGACTTTGGTTATTTCATTTAACCGTGATGTTAACATTTGTGGTTCAGTGTGTGAAATCTAAACACATATTAAAAAGGAATGCTGGGAAATTCGGCACAGACGTTCATTTAAATCTAAATAACTGAAGTCATCACATCACATTTACTACAACAGACCTCTGCTCTCTAGAGCCACTGTCGTTTCACTCGTCACTTCTACAGTTTGTGGTCAACTGTCTCTCACCGCAGCTGTAAAACCATCAGGTGATGTTTGGTTTGAGGATTAAAAATGTCTTTGTGCCTTTGAGCTCAGCGATGAGTCAGAACAGTTGCAATGTGTTCAGAATGTCTGTCGAGTATTAGCAGGGACACGAGGATGATTGTCTTCTTACCTGACTAATACTAATGCACTGGATAGTTTAGTTTAGTGGAAGTAAATGTAGACAGAGTAGAGACTAAGTGAATGTGACACAGATCAGCAGAGCAGAGGAGTGTGAGCATGCTCAGTCATGAACTCTCCGTCAAGTTCTCACATGATTCCCAAGGACCAGTTGTGAATCATGAAGTGACTTTTTTAAAGCAGCCGTTGTGTCTTTGCAAACTTTACGCACGAGTTTAAAAGTGTGAAAAATCAGTTTTTGAAAGCAAATCAAACTTTTATAAATTTATGGAGGAATCACTCGATGTTTTTTTGATTAGTCACCGGTTCTTTTTTCAAGCCAGAAAATAGCGGAAGGGCCGTTTATAATTTCACAGAACTATATTTATTCAAGAATGGAAAAACACCAAATAAATTCAGACCATTTACCATTTTTTGAGGACTATTATCGGTTTTGCCAGATTTTGAGAACAACAAAGTTGCTTGATGCTGCAAATGTTACGTCTCTGTGTGTCTCGGACTTTCCCAGCGGATTTTAACGAGACAATAGCTCTTATGGTCACTGTGGATAAGATCCACTTAGAAGATTGTTCGTGTGTTGTGTATGCGCTGCTGTATCTGTCTGTGTGTTTGTTATTGTAAGGTGCACATATACACATCTCTCCCATGAAAGAGATTTTAATCTCAGTGAGACTTTACCTGGTTAAAAAAAATAATTTTATATCTATCAACATCCTCTCCACCCGCAGGCCTCCAGCCCCGGCTCAGTCTACTCCTCCACCGGCCCCTCCAACAGCCTGACGTGGGGCACCACCTTAAGCAGCTCCTCCGCCCAGAGCAGAGAGAGCACGCTGGGCGGACACGGCGGGACGGGCAGCATGGGCTACCCCTCCGTCAGCAGCATGCACACCAGCAGCGAGTCCATTGACATGAGTCTGGGCAGCGCCGGAGGAGGTGCCGGCCACGGGACCCACAGGGAGGACACCCTGTCCGCGCTGGGACGCACCGGCAGCGTCAAGACGGGCATGTCTGAGAGGTGAGGACTCAAAATGCTCTTTTTTTTTATGTTTCCTTTTCCAAAAATAAGACCTCATCTGAGTTCATGTCTCAGCATTAATAATCCAGAAGTAGAACAAACATAATGTGAATCTTTGAAAGTTCTCATTCTACATAAAGACTTTTTATTCTGAAGCACATTTCAACCATTTCAATGCCTGAATCTAACTTAACTTAACTTTTTGATATTAATATTATAAATCCTCCTTCCATCCTGCTCGGTGCTGACGTTACTTTAGTTTTAAGAATCCCAAACAGAGAGGATGCACTAAGTGTTCGTCAGGGTGAGGCATCGCTTCCTGCTCGCCGTTCTGTCTGCGCTCCAGCACAGACACACAATCCATTGGCGTCCTCAGTCTTGTCGTTTTAGTAATTGTGGTCATTGTAGCAGATTCCATCGTGACAGGTCGACTCTGCACCGTGACAGGAATGTCTCTGAGGAAACTTAATAGCCGGTGGTTATGACATCACCCTCCTCGCCAAGTTTTCTTATTAACTTCATCGGTGAAGAATCTCGCACTTGATTTCTCTTCTCTAAAACTTTCTCTCTTTGTGTGTCTGTTGTGCGTTTTCCTTCCTGTCCTCCATCAGTCCCCTCTCCTCCCCCTCCGCTAGCCCTATATTCAGCCGAAACACGCTCCCTCGGAAGCAGGACAGGTAAATGTACCTGTGTGCAGTGTCAGGCTCCCTGTGGAGGTTCCTACCAAACCACCACCGGCTGCCACACACAAGCATCACGCAGACCCACACAGAGAAGCTGTCGTTGTGTCTTTGTGTGTGTGAGTCCGTGCTCTGTGTGGTAGTTTGTGGTTATTTTTTAGAACCTCTTGCTCCTGTGTGAATGGACATTTTGTGAGTTGGTGCAAGTGTGAGGTTGTTGTCAGTGCTTTTGTTCGGTGCTCCACTCTCGTCTGTTTGGACTGTGACATACTGCCACCTCATGGTAGAGTGCATATGTGCAGATTTACCTAATAGCATGAGAGTTGGATGTCTTTTTATTTAAGGGCTTTACACTGCAAAAATCTCAACCCTAAGGAATGTGTTTTCATATCTGAGCAATTTTCAGTAAAGTAAATCAAAAGATGAGATAAAAAAAAAAATGTCTCCATTCAAGTTAAAGGTTCAGTGTGTAGAATTTTGTGATATCTAGTGTTGAAATTGCATGTTGCAGCTGAACACCCCTCACCTCACCCTCTCCTTCCAAACATGAAAAAGAAACTGTGGTAGCCTTTAATTGTCATAAAAACTCAAAAGGTGTT